GATTAGCCAATAAGAGTTGAACAAGTATGAAACAATTAAAATAAATTTAATAAATTCGATAATTTAATTAAAATAAAATCAGAACTTACATTTTAAAAAAAAGTATTTTTTTTTAAATAAGATATTAATTTTTAAAAAAAGTATTGCTATGTTTTTCTTTATAATATTTAAAAATTTTTATCATAATGTAATCGATCGATATTGGAGTGAGATTTTTGAAATCCAATATCTTTCTTTTGTGTTCATATTTTTACTGTAAAGCGATATTAAAACAAAATGGGAAAAAAAAGGATAGTCTTAAAAGGTTAAGACAAAAAAAAGAAAAATTTAAAAAGCAACCACATAATTTTTGAAAGTTTTTTACTTTGGTAAAAAGTGAAACTAATAAATTGAATACTAAGGCAGTTTGTATATGTTGTATTAATAAAAATGGTGGTTTAGAAGTGGTACAATATATTCTGAGTTATTTTATAGCAAATAGAGCTAGATTATGTCAAGCACATTTAGCTGGCTGTGATAATTTTAAAAATACATATACAGAAGAAGTGCAGAATATTCTTTCACAACTAATTCCAGAGGATAATAAACATGATAGTAATACAGAAGGTAAATAAATATATTATAATTTTATAATGTTTATTTAAAATATCAATAATTTATTTTAACTTTTAGATGAAGATACCAGTGAAGAAGAAACTGAATCATATCCTTCGCTTGCTAAAAAATGAAAAGATTCTACAATGTCTATAAGTGTTTCCAATCAGCTTTCTTTAACCAATTATTTTAATCGCCTAATGTCTAGTAAAGATGTATTGAAATTTGAAGCACTTTTTTTATGAATACAAGTTTTAAATGGTTTGCCATTTACATTTGTAGAAACTCAGAAACTCGTGTATTATTTAATTTTATTGCATTGGGTTTAAAACTATCATCTCGAAAAAGATTAGGATGGCCAATTTTATTTAACTTATCGCAGAATTTACAAGAAAATATCTTAAAAATAGCATGTGCAGATAAAGATAGAGTCACTGCTACTTTTGACGGATGGACTAATATAAACAAGAACATTTGTGGAGTGTTGTTTTTATTACCTCTTAAGGACAACCACTAATTTAGAAGGCAAAGGAAATTAGTTCTGAACATTCAAGAACTGAAGATGTAATTCATTATATTAAAAATTTAATGAATGAGACACAAGAAAAACAAATAATTATTAAAGCATTTGTATCTGATTCAGCAAGTGAATATGCTGCTGCTAGGTTAGTATTTAATATATTAAATTATATTAATATATTGTAATAATTTAATTAAAACCAATTTTTTTTTAGACAGCAACTATAAAGAGAATATCCAAATAAAGTATTTCTTCTATATATGGCATATCAAGTAAACCTAGTTTTTGGTGATATATTTAAAGAAAAGAATTGTATAAACGAATTTCAATTGAAGCTATTAGAATTGTTTCCTATTTTTATAGTTCATCATTTTTTACTAGTCATTTATTTTTTTTTATTTTTTTTTTTTTTAAGTACGGTAGTTTCGCAAAATCTTTATTGAAAAAATAATAATCAAATTACATAAATTCAGAAATAACAAAAATCTCTATCT